TAAAAAAGAGAAAAAAAAAGGAGAGCCCTGGCCGGTGTGGCTCAGTGGTTAGAGCGTCAGCTAGTGAACCAAAGGGTCTTGGTTTTGATTCTCCGTCAAGGGCACATACCTAGGTTGCAGGTTCGATCCCTGGCCCAGGTCAGGGGGGTGGGACAACCAATCATTGTGTTTCTCTCACCTCTCTCACCTCTCTCTCGCCCCTTCCCTCCCTTCTATTCTCTCTAAAAATCAATGGAAAAATATTCTTGGGTGAGAATGGAAGAAAGAAAAAAAAAGGAATGGGAACCTTAAATCTGTCACTTTGTTCTTTGATCGGTGGCTGATCAAAAGTTTGGAGAGAAAAGGTTGGAATTACTCACTAAAATATGGTTTGATTTTAATTGGTCATGTAGCCCTTTGACATCTTTCCACAAATTACGTAAACAAACATCTGAGCAACTCTGTGAAATCGCACTAAGTGCAAACAGTGCAAACACTAATGATTGAAAAAACAATCATTAGTTTGTTGGCCACACCACCACGCAGCCCCTAACCTCAGCCAATGGCTGGACTGTTTGGTTCAAGCACTTTGTAGAGGTGAAAATCACAGCAATCCCATCCAGGGAATAGACTTTCTAAACATAGTGGGAATTAGCAAGAACACATAAATGTCCTACTTAATGGGACATACTGAATTCAGACATGAGACCCAATCATGGCCCTAATTACCTATGGTTGCAACATAAATTCCTATGGCAATATACAGCAAAAACCCATTGTATGAGTTCATCAGACAGCCTCAGGCTAATTGAATGAAACATTTATTAAGTGCCATTATGTGTATTACATTTCTAGAATATAAATTCCAGGAGGCAGGGATTTTTGTCCATTTTGTTTACAGCTATATCACCAAAGCCTAAAAAAGCGCCTGCAGATATTCAATAAATAATTACTTGAGTAAGTGAATGAATAAATCTTGTTTAACCCCCCAATGAGTCAAAAGGCACTATTATAATTCCCATTTCACAGATGTGGAAATATGGGCCAATATGAGGCTTGCCTGAAGATGCTCAGCCTGTAAGTGACAAGACTGAGGTTCAAACCCCAAGCCCCTGACTCTGAGCCTCTGCTATAGCTGGACTTGCTCTGTTCCTCGATGCTGTGCCAAGTGCCTTCACAGACCCAGCCATAGCATTAGAAGCCTTCTTAAGCTCCACTTCTGACTTTCCTTTAGATGCCTACCATATTTGCAAGGGAAACTGGGAATGCAACAACAGACAGATTCAACAAGACTCAACACACTGTAAATTCCAACAAAATCCCCAATAATGCCTCTATTCTGTCTGATAAATTCATCCAGTAGATGGAAACCATATAGTGGAAGAGATTAAATTAAAAGAGCACGGCCTTTCTCCTCTTTTTCCCCCCATTAATCCAGCAAAGACTAGTTATAGAGTTCCTAGTATGATCAAGACAGTAAGTTGCAGCTGGTAAGAAAGGCCTTTCTCAGTCCTCTCACCACAACCTACCCCACTAGATAATGACCTAGCAGACACCAAGGACCTGTGATGACTGCCCCATAGCAGCCCAGCTCAGTCCAAGAACCCAAGCCCTGATCAGGGTCAATGTGGAGGTTCCGGAGAGCAGCCCAGGCCCAGAGGTCTGGATCAATCTGTTCCTCTGCTCAGTGGTCAGCACAGGACAATTAAAAAGTCCTAAGGACTTTTTTTGAGGATTTCTTTTCTCTTTAGTGGCTTTTATAAATAGGAAACACCCCCAGTTTCCTATCTCATCTGTATAAAGAATGATGCCTTTGGCTAAAGGCACAGTTGGGAACATAGTCTATGAACACAATGTGGGTTCTAACTGTTTTCTCACGTCATCGGATATCTAAGTGGTTCCTGGCCAGTGGTATGTGGCTGAAATTATCTGGGGGTGTGGCTGGAATTCAGGGCATTCACAGGACTACAGGAACTTACTCTTCAATCCCCATGCCAATTACCACAGTATTAACTGTAATTTTTACCAATTAACAAAATTTCATTTGTTTGTGTTTAGTCATAGCAATAACACTTATTAGCTATAAAATGACCACAATTTAAAATAGATTTCTTATGACAATAAAATGCCACAGCACTTCTATGAGTTTTCAAACTGTGAATGGAATTACACCTTTTGTTTATTTGTGCTTCAGAGCCATGTCAAGAAAACTCACAATCACAATACCACTGAACATGCTTATATACCACATAGACTGATGCCCATAGCAGCAGAATGACTGTAAACATATAAATGCTCCTCCAAGGAAGAGAGTGCACATTATATTTTAGTTTTGATGCAACTCAGAAAACACACAGGTGGGAAACAAGGTGCACGGAATGAGAATGGCCCACGACTCTGTATAATCTTTCACTCCAGAAGTGTCTGGGTAAGGTTACTTAAAACTGACAACAGAGCACCCCTAAAATGTCCAAAACAGACAAAAAATGATCAGCTTTCCTATTGGCTCTGGAACCTACTAAATTCTCAAACTCTTTTCCCACCAATGAGGCCAAAGATAACAGGATAGGAGAAAATAATTTTATAACTACAGTCTTAGCAGATGACCCCTGAAGGCTTCTCTGCAGCCCTCAGAAACCAGCTGGAAGGGAGTATCTGAGCCGAATATCCCAGCACACGTTTTAGCCATATCCAGGCCCAACTGTAGCAGCAACAGCTTAGACGTTAGCATGGGAGGAACACTGGCTCGTTTGATTTGGATTCAAGTGGAAGGCTTGCATCAGCTCTAGTTTGCTGGTCCACAGTGTCCTCAGAAGTCCCAGTCAATCCCTTTGACATTCACTGGACACTGAAGAAATAACGGTTTAGGAAGATAAGGCTCAAAGGCCTGGCAGCATGCTGGGCTGTGGCTGATAGTTCACGCAATATCATGAGCTTGACACCCTTCTGTGGTGACTCACTGGAATGGTGGCACGTCTGCTGTACCAGCCAGGCATGCCTGCCCAACTGTGGACGGAGCTGCCCTGCAGGCTCCCCATCTGATCATGGCTGTGGCAAGCCCTCTCTGGTCTCTACACCACAGGCGTTAAAACCCGAGCTGCTACAGACTGAGCAGTAAGCTGACCTTTAAGGAGAAAACTAATCTTTTTATATTTTGATACTCAAAATTACAGATGGCCTTGTAGAAAATTGGAAAATACCAAAAAGTAAGTAATAAAAGCATACATAATTTATCCCCCTGATAATCACTGTTAACATCTTGACATATTTCCTCACTTTTTTGGGGGGATAGATAATACTACACACAGGGTGAGGCAAAAGTAGGTTGATAGTTGTTCATATGGAAGATACAATAATTAATAAATAATAAGAATAAATTCTGTTTCATGTACTCACAAATGCAAACCTACTTTTGCCCCACCCTGTACATGGTTATAGCCTTTAATAATGCATTTTCTGATACTATTAAATAGCCTTTGATATCATGTTTTAAAATGGCTACAGGGTACCCTGTTACAGTGTATGCCTTGATTTATGGAACCATTCTCTTATTGTGTACACTCCCCTTCAGCTATTATAAATAGTGCTGCAGCTCACATCCTTGCTGAGGACCACTGCCTGTGTCTCCAATTGT